GGCTTACCGTTGTCGTCAATTCTTTTCTATTGATGAAACGCCTATCGAGCACCGCCTGCAACTCCGAAGCATTCACTTGGAGAAACGAGCTCTGCTTTGGCATTTGGCTTTCGTGAAACAGAGGTAGTTATCCGATATTTTCTTGGGATGATTATTTCAAGAGATGGAGACTAAGTTCGATGATATTAAAGATGACAACCCATGATCGCCATTAAGAAGCTTCAGATGGGTGATTCTATCAAGGAATAAGGAGAAGTTTGATGAGCTTTTGACAGAGGTGGACTTACCTGATGATGCTGCGATGAATTGTTTCATCAGTGGACTGAGGAGTGATGTCCAGCAAAGCATTCTAAGTTTTCAACCCAGGTCCGAGCCACACCATGAAGCTTGCCGCCGTCAAGTCCCCACCATTAAGCCATTCCGACCACGCTCCTGCCTCTGCGTCCTGATCGCGCTATTTCGCACCATCGTTTGGTGTTTCAAGCAGCCAACTCTTCTCAGGTTCCTTTATCAATCCACTTGAGTCTTGAGTCAGACCCCTTTTCTAAAGTTACTATTCACCATGGGCCCATTACCTAAGAAGCCCCAAAATTAGACCTCCAACAGCTGCCTCGCCATCGGCCTCTTCTAAGCCTCACAGGGCCTCTCCAAACATGACATGGATGAACACAGGCGTCTGGGCCTCTACTACTGGTGCGGCGATCGATATAGCAGTGATCATAAGTGCAAGGACTCCCAACTTTATGTCTTGCTTGTTGAAGATGATCATGAAGCTTTTGAAGATGCCTGAGACGACATTGAGCCTGAAGAAGCCACGGGCACCATTAACGCTATGGAAGGCAGAGACGGTGTTTCCACCTTACGTCTACAGGGGCGAGTCAAGCATCAATAGGTCCTTATTCTCATGACACAAGAAGCACTCACAATGTTTTCGATTCTAAGATGGCTAAAAGACTTTGATTACCTATTCATGAAAGACAATGATTTCACATCACAGTCGCCGACAATCGCCAGCTTTTAATTATGCAATGTTGTTCCAATTCCAATTCCAATTATAGAGGAACTCCTAGATGAACCGACAGGAGCTCAATTTTTTTCTAAATTGGATTTACGAGCAAGTTATCATCAAATCAGAATGAATGAAGGCGACATTGCAAAAACTACTTTTCACACTCATGATGGCTTGTATGAATTTACGGTAATGCCATTTGGCTTCACAAATACTCCTGCTACCTTTCAGAGTCTCATGAACTCAGTTTTCCGCCCATTCTTGCGGAAATTCCTTTTAGTCTTCTTTGATAATATTTCAGTTTACAGCAGCAATTGGGCAACTCACTTAGACCATTTGAAGGCCACATTATCACTATTACGACATCATCAACAAGCCAAATGGATTATCTTGAACATGTCATCACCGCAAATGGCATTCAGGCAGACCCCAAGAAGTTAGAAGCAATAGCTTCGTGGCCTACTCCCTCTTCGGTCAAGGAATTAAGGGGTTTCCTTGGTCTCACTGGGTATTACCGACGCTTTGTCAAGAGTTATGGTTCTATTTGTAGCCCTCTCACAGCATTGTTGCAGAAGCACGAGCGATTTGTCTGGTCCCCTCAAGCTCAAACAGCTTTTGAGTCCCTTAAGAAGGCTATGATGTCTCCAGTCCTTGCTCTCCCAAACTTTAATGAAACTTGTCTCTGAGACTGATGCTTCAAGGCATGGTTTGGGAGCAATTTTATCTCAACAAAGCCATCCATTAGCTTTTGCTGGCAAAGCCCTTTCTAATTGCAAGAGACAATTATCCGCTTATGAGCGTGAACTGCAAGCTATTGTCTTTGCTGTCAAGCAATGGCGCTCATACCTTTAGGGAAGGAAATTCATCATCAAAACAGACCACTTGCCCTTGAAACATCTGTTGGAGCAGCAAGATTTAAGTCAAGAACAGTGCAAATGGCTTCATAAACTATGGTGTCTCGATTATGATATAGTCTACCGTAAAGGATGTGATAATATAGCAGCTGATGCTCTTTCTAGATGCTCGAGTGGGGGCTGTTTGGCTATTTCTCTGCTTATATCTCCTTTATATGATCGAGTGCGTGACTCTTGGCTTCTTGATGATCAGTTACAAGGCCTAATTAAGGATCTCGAACATGATCCTTTGTCCAACTCTCAGTATACTTGGCACACCACTTGTTGAAGCGAAAGGGTAAACTCGTGGTAGGGGCTGATCGTAAGCTTAGAGAGGATTTACTTCCCTTCTTTCATGGTGATGCTAAAGGCAAACATTCGGGTATGACTCCAACTTATAAAAGATTAGCTTCTTTCTTTTATCAGAAGGGAATGGAGCGAGATGTTCGCAACTATGTGTGTCAATGCACCATTTGTCAATGCTTTAAGCCAGAGTTGGTAGCCTCCCCCGGACTTCTCCAACCATTACCTGTACCCGAACATGTTTGGTCTGAACTCTCCATGGACTTTATTAGCGGCCTTCCTAAGTCTTATTCTAAGACCACTATTTTGGTAGATGTTGATCGCCTATCTAAGGCTGCCCACTTTATGGCTTTGAAGCACCCCTTTATTGCCATGGATGTTGCTAATACATTTATGAATAATGTTGTTAAGTTACATGGCTTCCCTAATCCATTGTTTCAGACTGGGATCCAGTTTCCTGTGGTAAGCTTTGGAAGGAATTATCTCGATTGTATTATGTTAAGTTGCATTTTTCTTCCGCTTATCATCCCCAAAACTGACAGCCAAACAGAAGTACTTAATCGTTGTTTGGAGTGCTATCTCGTTGCATGACAAGTGATTTTCCAAAACAATGATCTAAGTGGGCTTTCTTTAGCTGAGTTGTGGTATAACACCACCTATCATTCCTCAATTGGGATGACTCCTTTTGAAGCGGTCTACGGTATACCTCCTACCCATTTACCTTATATAGCGGGTGACTCCACTAATGAGACGATTGATAGGACTTGCATAGCTCAAGAGCTTACATTACAACTGCTGAAGCAACATTTGTTGAAAGCACAACATCGGATGAGGTAGCAAGCCAATAAACGCCGTTCCAAGCGTCAATTCGATGTGGGCAATATGGTTTTTCTCAAATTGCATCCCTTTCAAAAGAACTTATTGAACAATTCTTCACTACATAAATTGGTTGCCTGTTACTTTGGGCCTTCACAAGTAGTGAGACGCATTGGAGCTATTGCATACGAGTTGGCTTATCTCCCCACACCCACGTTCATCCAGTGTTTCATGTTTCTTTGTTAAAAAAATTTGTTAGTCTGAATGTTCCCCTTCGCTCTACTTTGCCACCAGTTGATGATCAAGGCCAATTTTTGTAGGAACTAGAAGAAATCTTAGGCAGGAAGATAGTTAATCGCCATCATTTGCCCGTCACTCAAGTTTTGATTCGTTGGAAGTTTTCCCAACCAGAAGATGCCACTTGGGAAGATCTTTCAGCCATCAAGCAACAATTTCCTCACTTCAATGTTGCTACTCCTTCCACTGCTCCCATCCTTGTGGACAAGGATGTCTTTAGGGGGGAGTATTGTTATATGTTATCCTTTATTTAAGGGCTTTATTGTCTCTGTGTTCTGTTATTATTGCCTTTTCATATGTTGCTGAATTGTAGGAAGATATTGACAGTGTGGGACCCTTCCTAACACTTGTCTAGGTTTAGGGTATATATGCTGTGCCCTACCTATTTCGGATGTTTTTATGAATGGAATAGTCATTTTCTCTCCTTCTTCTTCTTCCCCTTCCCTCATAACACATCCTTGGTATATTCCTTATCGCTATAACCTCCTATAGAAGGAAATCTATCTATAATTTTATATTTTATTACTTTCTGTTTTTTTTTTTTTACTTTATTTAGCAAGGGGCTTGTTTTATCATTTCATGCATTAAATGGGATACAAGTAGGTGTTTCCTTAAAGAGGAGGAAACCTTATATTTTAGTGTTTATGTTTCATTCAAAAGAAGGAAACCTTAGCTATGGCTTCTATAAAAAAGCCACTATGGTCAGACATGGATTTTGATGAACGAAAATGTTTGAGTGACTCCTCCAATCTCTTCATTCTGTCTCCCTCCCTTTTTCTCCCCACTACTCTATTCCTATCCAGTTCTGTGTTCCCTCACTTTTCCTCCTCCCTCTTTGTTTTCCGTCTCCCTTCTCTCCCCCTTCTATTCTGTCATTTTCTCCCTATGTCCCTCAGCTTCAATCTGTGGCAATGTGTGTCAGAGTGTTGTATCACCTTGATGCATCTAAGAATAAGAACCCACAGCCTCCCAATGGCTGTCACAAGGAGATACCAGAATTCACTTCCCACACTCACAGGGAAAGAAATATCAGGATGAGTGAGTGAGGTAGTTTAGTTTAAATGACTTACCACGCTCAGGGAATCACAATGCTCAATAAAAATGAAAAAAAATTAACCCTCAAACAATTGCCCTAACATTCAAAAGTCTAGAAAATAACCCCTTAGTTATGGGCGCATTAGATGTAAATCAAGTTAACCCAAGCTCTAAACATTCATGACAAAAAGGAAACTCTACAATTTTTTTTTTTTTGGGCAGAAGTAATAATACAACAAATTCCTTCCGTCCCATATAAACTATATCTTAGACTCAATTTGTTGGCAGAATTCAACAAGTCAGCCCAAGCTCACCATAGGCATGAATGTTTTAGAAAACAAAAAATATATATATTCATAAGCTACCATCAAAATTAACCCAAAAGTATAATATTCTAAGAAAAAAGTTTTAATTCATTTCACTCCATTAATTGTATAATAACTCTCAAACAATAATTAATAATTAGATGAGAGTCCTTCCTCCCATAAAACTCCCAAATAATGGAATGTTTCATTCTATTCCACTCCTTTCCATCCCATTTCATCAAATAACCATTCCATGCATTCTATTCTAAACTTCCAAGTGCACCCTAAAATACAACTAAACACAAACTGATATAACAAATAATAGTTAAAGTCAAACCTTCATAAGAACATTCAAATATGCCACAAGAGCTTTTGCATCCCCCTCCTGAATTTCAGGCAACATTGCCCCAGCAGTCTGAAGGGACTGTTTAAATTTCTCATCATAGATTGCTAAGCATTCAAACAAAGTGCTCCACCCAATTGAACGGAATGCGTTCCCTCGCAGTAACTCATAAACTTTTGAGGCACCTTCCTGACTCAACGCCTGAAAAAGGAGTTTACAATATGAAAACAAATGACAGGATATAATGAAAGTTGGTGGACAAGATTGAGATCTCCAATTTCTAACAATCAGAAAATTCTCTTACCAAGGTGCTCAGCATATTCAGGAAAGCCACAAGCGTTTGAAAATTTGTATGGTCCTCTCCAGAAAAAGTTACAAATGTCCATAAAACCTCATTTCCAGACAAGAGCTCTGGTTCTTTCTGATAACTTAATGAAAGTCTATTTAGTAATAAATTAATGATCAAAATAAAAGCCAATCAAATGAATATTAACCATTCAAAGATTTCATTGAGAACTCAGCAATAAAAAAGCAGATCAACAACAAAGGTTTGTCCACATTTTCTTCACTAAAACAAGTAACCATAAAGGATTAGTCAGTATAACTAGATGGAATGAAGATCTAAGAACAGCAATAAATCAATCAACAGATTAACAGATATCAACTACTAATCTTGTCAGATCTATCATGATTTGTTTGTATGTTAAGAGTAAATACATTCTACTAAATCTATTGCTTCTTGATGAAACAGACCTGATAAATTTCACTAACAAACTCCAAGATGGAAACAAATGGTGTTGGGCTGGCTTCAGTGCCCTGCAGAGAACTTGAGCTCTGCTCCTGCACAAAATCATGTGATCCACCAACACGATATGGACTAAGCATACTCATGGCCCTGTCCTTGGATTCTTTTATCTGCTGGAGTATAAGCAAAACTGTTTGCAATGAAATATCATGAAGGCCAAAACAAACAGAACCGGAGGTTTATATTTTGCAAAAAGTCCAAACCAATTTTTTTTTTTATGCAAACGTGCATGTGTGCATTTCAGACATCAAAATTAAATCCAATATGTCAAACAGTAAAAATTACTTACTTCAATTATTAATATCTCTAAACAATAACAAAGTAGTTCATCCACAAACTCTGATTTGTGCATTCCATCATTAATACAACATGTTCTATTCAATATATAGCCAAGTGAAATGATAAACTGACCTTGTCTCTGGCATGTGGATTAGACAAGAAGCAAGTAATCAACTTGTGAAGATAAGCATTGAACATATAAATCATATCCTCATCATCATTCTGTGGAAAAATGAACTATTACCTTGCGTTGATGAAGTAAAATTATGAAAATATGAGAAAAAATCTCAAACATAATGTCTGACTTTACACAGTACATCATGAAAAGTTCAACAGTTAGCAGTATAAAAAAAATATAAAAATTGATATTTCACTAAATATTAGAACGTTTATAGATGTAACCATAAATGAAGATGGAGGATAAAAATAATCAAAAAAATAATTAAATTCAAATAACATATTCCTATAGGTAATACTAATTCTTACCTTAGTTGACGCGATTGAAGCATAATACAAGTTATTTCCCAACTCAACATATATATACACACACATAAAAAATAAGTAGGAGAACAGGAAATGGATCTCGTGCATTTCTTTAGATGAGTGCACCAAATGCACTTCTTTTTTATTATTAAAGTGAAGATGAAGAAGATGGGAAAAGATGTGTATGATGTGTTAATTAATAAAAATTAAAAGGCGCACTTCTCCAAAGATGTGCGTCAAATCCAAATCCTAGGAAAACATGCCTTACATGTTTTATTAACTAAACCTGAGAGGATTTACATATTGAAAGGGTAACAAATACAATATGCACCTGGTAGGCTGCAGTACGAAGAACTTTATCCAGTAAAAACTGAAAGACATTTTCTGAGAAAATGACATCCAAGCCTTGACTAAGATAACCCATTTCATTTGATGAACTGCTTGAAATCGACTCCCTTGAAGCAATTCTATCTAGTATTAACATCAAATGTACCACCCAAGCAAGCCTAATGCCACCAACAAAGCCCTCAACCATTGGATTGTTTCCAGCAGCCATTACCTATAAAGCATGCAAGGCCACCAACAAACATCCTAAATCATAAACTTGTAATTTCTTAAAAATCAGTACATAAAACAGTAGTCATCTTTCATCTTACAATTTCATTGAATTCTCGTCTGAAGGAAGCATCAGAGGAAAGGATAGATGCTTTATCAGGCACAGTACTTAAACCATCTGAGACGAATGCAATCACAAGAGAAAAGAAAAGACTAAAGGTTATCTGCAGAAAAAGACAGGATAGAGATGTAAGGAAGCAACATAGAGCAGAAGGCATCCATCTTTTGATAAAAGAAAAGCTAAATTTGTATTCAGTCATTTTTTTTAACATGTACACCTGATTGCTCAATTGTTAGTCTTTCAGAAATCAAACTAATAATCCCCTTTTTTTTTTGGGGGGGGGGGGGAATCAATTTCCATATGTATAGCCAAGAGGTTATCCATCTTTTAGTCATGGTTAACTTAACTATCATATGGGCTTCAAATATTAATTAAAACCAATGAACCAAACATTGCAAAGTGTTTTGTTTAACAACCCAAAAAAAAAAAAAATCCTCAATTCCATGTCAAACTAGGAACTTGATTTTCCATTATGCCGGTTTCTAAACATGCAATTTTCATTGATTTCTATCTATTTTACACAGCTCACTTCATCTCCACATTGCTCACTTTCTGTCTTCAAGATATTTGGCTTCAGCCTTTTGTAAATCAGCTCTTATTGTTTCCTTTTTTTTCTTTCAATAACAGAAAAGCATGTGATAGCTTTCTACTTATTTGCTTCACTGAAATGAATTAGAAAACACAGATGCCAATCACATAAAGGTGAAAAAGTTTTCCATAATTGAAAATCAGTCCTTACAAAAAGAACAGCCCACAAGAAGCACTGAACATCAATAAGCATGCCTTTATTACATTCAATATGAGGAAATGCAAATTATGTCACAAGTAAAATAACACCAAATAGCAATATGATGTTCCTTATGCCACGGCACAATTCAGCTCAAGACAAAAGCCAAAAAATTGGAATACAAAAAAAAAAAAGTTGTTTGCATAATTTCTTTCACAACTAAAATGTTTGAGACAGTTACAAAGGGTGTAATAACAAAGCAAAATTCTAAAACAGCAATGCAAAACAATAAAATATAAAATTTTAAAAAATTAACAAGTGTAAATATGTACCTGATGATTGACAGTATCATTTTTCTCACCGACTTCGGAAGCACTATCTTTTAAAGCAGAAAAGATATCTTTTACATCCTTCGAACCTGAAGACAGAAATATCCTTATGATGCAAATTGAAGTACAAAGAAGACAACTAAAGCCCTAGATCACCCCAAATGATGCTATTCTTACTCATCCGAACAATCAAAACAGAAAGGACAAGACAATGTCCAAGTATAAGTCTTTCTCTTGAAACCACAGCTCGCCGCTCCACAAGGGAACCTCTTGAATCAAGAAGGTAGCGCTCAGACAGAGGTCCACCCAAGCCAGATGGTTCTTCTCTTTTAAGTTCCTTTATTGAGAACAAAATTAGCCCAAAAAATAATTATAGAGAAATAAGAACAGACCAAAAAGCTTAAGGAAAACATAGAAATGTTCATCCACATGGTACATTAAAAGAGAGCAAAGGGAATTAATACCAAAAGTTATGATTATATCAATAGGAACACTAATTAGTAATTTTAATGCATCAATTTAAAAAGTTAAAAGAAAAAAATGCAACTGAAAGTGGTTATATGCAAAGAGTAAGTTGTTATTGCCATGTTACTCAAAAAGCCAATCACATCAGTATCCACAAAATGGAGGCCGGCACATGTCAACCACAGTGAAAATATGTGTCTCATGTAACAGCACACATGATTCAGCACTTGATAAAGGAAATTAATTAATCATTCATACTATTTACTGGCAGTGAAAAGAACTATGCAGCTGCAATAGAGGCAGGTTGTTAAGTCAGACTCAAGGGATCATATCACATCTTCAATCACTGCAGTTTTGCAAGAACTATCGCCCTAAAAGTTCATTGCATGCAAATTTCTGATATCTCTGTGGTTAACAGAAGCATTGATCTCTACACTCATTGATAATCAAAAATTCAATCTCGTCATCATCGATACTCACACCATTTGGACAAAAAGGAATAATGTTATTCATTCCAAATCTCCTTCCCCTATTTCACCATCAAATACATTAAAAGCCATTCACTCACAACTTCCTCTCATTCAGCTTTTCTCGAAAAGACCACTCCCTTCTTTCTACCACCCTTCATTCTGCCACAAAACTGCCAATCTTTGCAATTCCACAAAATTGGCTTTTTCAAATATTTTTGTGCAAAGTGAATAAGCCAATTTGGCTTGCCATTGTAGCCTCCTCGGGTGATATTCTCATCAGAGCTTTCAAATGGATTTTTCTCGCAAGCAATAGTGATGTGAGCACAGGTGGCATCCAACAGGGCTTCCAAGGTTGCATCCATGATGGCATTAAGATTGGCAAAGTCAAGAAGCCACCAAAGAGAATATTTGGGCTAGTAGAGTTCATTTAGTTTAGTTCAGTCAAGTTTTTCTATTTTTATTGAATTTTTGTATTTATTTTTCATGTATTTTATTTATTTAGTATTTTAAGCTTTAATAGCATTGATGGGTTTGTTGGCAGGATTTTCAAAGGAATGAGAATAGGAAAATGAATGGAAATGAGAATGGGAATTGAAATGGCCTTAAAAGTATGTTTCATGTCCAGATCCTCCTTTGTACACTGCCAGATCCCCCTTTGTCACTGACAAGGCCTTACAAAAGCCGAGACTGAAACAAGACTTTGAGTGAGGAGGTTTTTTTTTTTTGTCTTAATAATTAACAATTTTCTACCTCTGCTTCAAAGAACCTCAAATTTCTGACTTTCTTCCCACAAAAGAAACATATAACCTGCTATTGCTCAAATGCAACATTTGCTGCTGGTCAAACACAGCCAGAAACTAAAAATAAAGTACCTTTTTGGGAAGCTATTCTAAGCAGGGCCAAAACAGTTGCATGAATATCCTTGCTACAAGCTAATGTCATAGTTGAATACACAAAGGTCCAAAGAAAAATAATAAATTCACAAAAAGCAAACCTTAATTAGAGATATGAAACGTTGTCTAAGTCCAGAGTTTATGAGATCTTCCAAGTATTTCTGAATGTCAGACAATAAATCTTCTTCCAAGCCTTGATCAAGAACCACAGCCTGAAAAAGGAAAGAACGTCAAGCCAATATAACATTAAAGAGGAAGGGAAAAAAAGAAAGAGCAAACACCAAATGAATATATGACTACTTGAGTAGTGAGAAGATACCCTAAACAGCAAATGGAGAGATGTTATTAAATCCCTTCTTTCAGTATACCAGAGTCCTGATGCAAGGCGCACAATTTCTAGCGGTTCTCTTCCCATTAAACCCCACTACAAATAAAGAACAAATTTATATTTTTACATATATAGATAATAAAATATATTAAACATAACCAACATAATATGAGGAGGTGAATGAAATTTAATGATGAAAAGGAACAGCAGAAATTTACCTCTTGATTAGCCAAAACAAGCAATCGAACACAGTCAATTTCATTGAGATGGAGGTCATCACTCAACTTGAGAGCCTATTCATCATCAAAGTCAATATCAATAAACGACTTTTTAGTAGTAAGCATATGATACGTAAGTCACAAGTAATAACATGGCATAAAGGACAAAATAAGACATTACAGAAAAAGCAAAGGGAAGAATGAAGAAATCACTCAATTGCCATTCTAATAAAATCAATAGCCTGTTCAACAAAATGCTTGAAATGATTTATGCCTAATGAAGTTGAGCTAAGAAATATTGCTCCACAAATTTATGAGAGCATGATCCAACTTGGCTCAATAATTGCCCATCAAACTTTAACAGAAGAGAGAAAATTTATCTCAAGCCTAGAAAATGTTACCAATGTTGCGATACTCAAATACCCAAACATCCAGTGATCAAGAATTCAACTCAATTCCACTCATTTTGCTTTCACATCTATCATTCTTTCTTCTACTTCATGAATTTCCATCTTCACAACATTAATTTAGAAGCATCTAGTTAGATCATACTTGGTTTGAGGGAATAGGCTTTGATCAATGTAATAATAAGCTTCCGTTGATATATTCAAAAATATTCAGTTACAGTGTTATGTATCCAAATCTTAACAGATATATAACATTATTTATCTAAGAAAGATACAACTATTAACTCAAATTATATCATGATAAAATATCTTAAGAGAAAATATTTAATATTCCACGACATTACTATCACAACACGCCTTGAATTTATAAAACGCAAGGCAAGTGTAACAGGTAAAGATGAACAACAAATGCCTGCTCCTTATCATTCTCAGACATTAATTATTGGAATGCACAAACTACATTTGTGTGTACAAGCAGAAAGATCATTACAATAAATTAGACATGTAGTTTACATTTCAAGTACACTCATTTGACAGTTAACAATGAACAGAAAAGGTAAATATTACAAGACATAACCTTGACTAGCCCTAATCCTTATCTCAAAAAGGTTATTTCTCGTCACGTATCAACAGTGACATATGGCATCCATTTTTGCCAGAAATAACTGTGACTAAGGTTTCAAAATTGAACATTGATTAATAAACTCTCATGCAGTAATAGTTGTAGGCCCACTGCTTTCCCCACACTCTGCAACCTATTCCATAGTTCCTTACGGCGAAACTAATGTTCTAATTATCCATCAAGCGTAGATAAAGAGTACTAGCTTTCTACAGTTCTTTGTTACAGCCACAACCGCGTCAATTTGGCCTAAGGTACAGCCAACAAAGTAAGAAGCAGAATACTGAAAAATAATTACGAGAACTCACAATCTGTACATCCTGTTCATCGAGAGAGAGAGGCGGAGAATCCGGAAGTCTAACTGATTTTGATTGTACTTGACTTCGATCAGAGGGCTTTGGAGGCTACAAGCACATAAAACACTAAATCACGTCCGAAGTAAATTCAAGCAAAACCAACTACCAAAAACAATATTATGCTAAGCATCCCCCAGTTTCTTGGTACCACCTAGAGTTCACAACACTACCCGTAATTTCTATCATAAAAACAATGGAACAACAAAATGATCCTCGAATCGCGTACCGGATAGGAGAGGAGAGAACGAAAAGAGGGAAGTAAGCTGCGAATCGCATGCAAGAGCTCGACCCTCTGAGCGGCAGAAGGATGCGAGGGGCCGAGAAGTGCTGATTCGAGTGTGGATAGGAGTTCCTTTGGAGTGACCATTGAGCTCTCCGGCAATGGAATGGAAATGGAGACCAATAGATGAAACCCTAGCAAAGAGGGCAAGAATAAAGAAAGCGTATGGTTGCAATGTGAGCGGTTGGCGTCACAGAGGGAATTTGGAGGGACTAGAGTAAAAGGGTGGGAATGAATGGCGGGTTTTTGGCGAAAATGCTGATCAGAAATGAACACTGAGTGGGCAGGCCTAAAATTCAAACACACAAAAACCCTCCATCGTTCAACTCTGTCTGCGAGGGCTCTGTCGCCGCTCTGAAGTCCGAACTCACTAACTAAAATTTTGGATGTAAGTTAAAATGAAAAAATTACACGTCGACAGCAGGGCTCGAACCTGCGCGGGCGAAGCCCAACAGATTTCAAGTCTGTCTCCTTAACCACTCGCACACATCGACATGGCGTGTCAAGGGGTATATTCTTTAAATTTTATAATCTAATAATATTTTTTTGAAAACTTGCCGAGAAATGAAAGAAAAAGTGACAATAAAAGGTCAAAAACATACAATAATAGCACTTTAAGTCTCAAAAAAAATTTTCTTTAATTTAAAGTTTAATTATCACAAATTGAGGCTTATATTTAAAATTTAAATGTCATATTTATAATTACATTTTTTTAATTTATAATTTAATTTTCAAAAAATTTATTAAACATCAAATTTTATTTAGAAAGTTCATTGGATTCTCCAAAAATATGTATTATATATAATTTGAAAACAGTAACATTTATTAAAATGCCTATACACTAACATATTTATTCTTAAGTACATCCACTTTTTAATTTAAGAAATTTTAAGTGAGTTGGATTTCAATAGTTCAAACTTGAGTAGTGTTTTTTGTTTTACATTTAAAAAATAAAATTTTTTAAATTTTTAAATTGATTTTAAACTTTAAAATATATATTTATGCTTTAAAATTAGAATTTTTACTATTTATTTTTTAACATTATAAGTTGTATTTTGAAAAAGAATGTGCAATATTATAATGAGATTTTAGCTTTTAAAAATTAATAATTAAAATTTTATTTTTTATCTTTGAAGTGAGTGTTATTATAGATAATGACAATGTTAGTAGTGAAACATTAATATTGGTAGTATCAAGAAAAATAACAAAACACTTGCTAAGTATTTAACAATTAAAGCTTGATCATTAGACGATATTCTTCTTTTCTTTGTACACAAGCTTGATGTGAAAGAACAATTATGGCCCTCCAAACTCACCGCACCCACTCATATCATTGGCTATGGAGAACCTCACATTTATAGTAGAGCAATGATAGCATGCAAAGATTAACCTTTACACATACATAACTAATCACTTGAACCTCTAATTGAGGTGATTCAAGAGTTCAAACACAAACAAATTAATTATCTAACTATTGGCACCATTTATAACAATCATGTACCAAATAAGGATCCTGAAACACTAGATGCCATTGTGAGTATTTAAGCTCCTTGTGTATATACAAATGTCTCCCCTTTAATATCTACTAAAGCTTACTTATTCAATCATGCATAGAATACTCGATTTAACCACTATATTGCACCATTAGCAAAGACAACAAGTGAATCATAATATCTACTAAAGCTTACTTATTCAGATTTTCTTCCTCTTTTCATCCCCAAGTGACTCGACTTCCTTCATATCAATGTTTAGGGCTAGAAAAATAACCAAAAATTTCCGTTAGGCCTTTCTAGCCACACACCTCTCTAATAAACTCAATTAATCTAATTTAGGCTTAATTAATCTGGTTTGAAATTTAAGGATGTTATACAAACATGCCATGGTGCACGTACCACTTTATGACATCATAGTGGTATCATGACAGCTTTTTAGGATGAATTTTCAACATGTGCCATTTTTACATTCAATATCTAATTGGAGTGATTCAAGTACCCACGCGAAACGTATTCAATAAGTTAACTAATGTACAAGTTTCATTCCAATCTAATACTGTATGAGAATTTTAGATAGCCGAATTCTAAAATCAGATTTTAAAATGATTTTCAAGCATCCGAATATCTAAAACTAACAACTTATATCATTAATTCATTTTGAGGCTTGAACCAAATCCAATGACCATTATGCACCTAATTAAACAATTAAACAACCAATAACATATTAAAACTAAGATTTGGCCACTCAATGCCCTAAATTCACATAAATAGGGCTCTTCCATGAAATTTTCCCCAATCTCATCCCTAGGCCAAATTTACACAACCTATGACATACAATCCTCATTATTATACACAAACACCAATAGCTTATACTTGTATCAGAATTTTAGCCTTTGCCTCAAGTGTCATAACAGAATCCACTTTGGGTTAAAATACCCCAAATCTACATAATATATAAGTGCAATACTATTATTCATGCATTCATATCACATCTCACGTAACACACACAAATCAACACATTTTGCACTTATAACCAAAAATTAGCCTTTACCGTAAGTGAAGTAATGAATATACAATTTAGGCTAATTCTACTAAATATTCTTATATACTATAAGTGTAAAACCCAATTTCACTACACCCATACAACACACTTTTGTACGCCATAGCATACAACTCGACGAGAGTATCAAATGTATTACATATACATTACTCAAATAGAAGAATTCCTAATTTGCAACCTTAACTTTATATACATTCAAATACATAGACTATAATAATAAAGGACATTACACTACTAGTCTGGCTACTCTTTTTCTTATTCTTTTCCTTATCTTCCCTTCATCTCAAAACCTATAAAATATAAATTCACAGGGTGAGATAAACATCTCAGTAGCTAAGATAATTCAAAACTATCTATTAAAGAGAATAACCATAAACAAGTAACTATAACTCTATCTTTCTTAATTTCGAAGTGTATAAATATTATGTATAACTATTTCACCAAATCATTTCTACACACACACATGATCATCCTAATCCATTCATCCTTTGTACATCATCAACTGAATTCGTAGGCAACCTTAACCATCTCCCAAGAGATTTAGTCCTTGCTTAACCTTTCGTAGGTGAACCACTAGGCCAAGGTGTTCTATCCCACTTTGGGATTATGAATTCCCCCTATTATGAGTAATCAGGGTGTCGTTAACTTCTAACTACACCCTTAATGGCACTAGGGAATTGCCAGATCATCCATATTTTTCATGGTATAGTCCCCTAATATTGCTGTACTATGGGTCCCCTGGTGTCACCACATCCATTTGGATTTCATGCATACCTCTTCATTACAGGGTAAACTCCCACCATCTCTAATGAAAATGATGCAAATATATGCATATCATTTTCCATATATATATATATATATATAGTTCACATTTAAATCCACTTTCACAAATAATTCACTTGTAATTAAATTTCCTTTCAAATACAAAATCATGCAAGTTTACAAATCATGCCATTGATTAAAATCACATACCATACCATTCACATTCATGTATAAATAGTTAATTTAATTAATAGACAGAATGAATTATCCAATTACTTCAACTCCTTTTTTTAACAAAAAGGTTAGCTATGGTGTAACATTTGCTTGAATGGTCCTGGTGACTAGTAAAAGCACCAAATTATGTAAATCTACAATTTCAAGCACCATACGTTTATCTCTTATACCTAATATAAGCACTCTTTAGCCAAATTAACTAAATTTAGTACCCAACAATCAAAGCCACTACTATTAAGCTATTCAAAGCTTTTACATCCTCATCTTATCTTAATTTAGCCTATACAAGGTTAATTCATGTTTTAATTTTAGCTCACAGAACTCCAACAATCCTAAATTTACCTAGAGTTCATCCAAAACCTAATTCCAAACATTTCAAGCTTTAATTTAATACTTATTCAACTCAAAGAAGCTTAAATCAAGCTTCCACAACCACATGCAAGACCTAGGGTTTAAGTATAATCCTCCTTTAACTTAGAACCCAAACAGCCAATCTTCAAAATCTAAGAAAACTAAGGTAGAAAGGTAGTGAAGATTGTTAGAAGTCTTATCCAGATGATTGAAGGTCCAAATAAGCCTTTAACCTTGTCCAAATCCATACCTTAATAGAGCCCTCCTCCTCCTCTTCCTTTATGCCCTAAGCTTTCCCCACCTTTTCCTCTATTCTTTTGAACATTTTCGAGTCTTTATGCTAAATCTACACCACGCATTGTAGCATACGGTGCACATGTTGTAACATCCTGAATTTCAATCCCAAGAACTAGTTGGTAATCAAGGATAAATTAGTAATTAAAGGATTGATTATGGTTTAGGTGTCATGTTAGTGGTTTGTGTTGATTTGATGTTGTATTGATATGATTGAAGGGTAAAAAGACAACCTGAGGCATAACATGTGAGCACAAGTGAGATTGAATTCACTGGGCCGCGCACCATGGCCTATTGTCCATGGATTACTTAAAGCTGATCATATCAGCTTGTGAAATTAGAAGTGAAAGAGTTGGAAATGCATCTGGGGTGAAAGAGGAGTCCATCTCTACTAGGGTAAGCCATAATTAGAGCTTGAGAGTTTACTTCAATTAGTAACTTAGTGAGTAAGTATTGCACAATCCCAAACTTCAATTCTACTCCTTTTTTATTGAATTTTATCAGTTGAGTAATTGAATCATAAAGTTCTGAAGTGTTGTAATCTAAAAGAAAGGGTCAAAACAAGTTATCGAATACAAAACTAAGATTTTGTAACTAGTATGGAATTGAATGTTGAGCTTTAAGAGTTTAAGCTCAAAATAGCCTAAAAGTTAAGTTAAAAGGGTGAAATTGGGTAAATGAATAAGTTATGAAGTTGTTATGATTGTTTGAGTAGTCTATAGGGCTAATGATTATAAATAATGGATAAGTAAATTCAAAAGGGTTCAATTGGATTGTTTTATGTGTTAAGGGATTTTGTTGAGCTGAATCAATACCTATGTGAAAAGTTGAAAATTGATCGAGAGGTATTGTGTTATGTAGATTGAGCACTTATGAAATTGCTCATGAGAATCTGCTCCCCTAAGAGTTTAGTGTGGTTGGCAACCTTTTGTAGCAAGGGTTAAAAGTAATTGGAGTAACCCTTTTACATGTTTATTTGTGAAATTGTTTACAAATATTTGATATAACTACAAGCATTGTGTTGTGAGCTGATAGAGTAGCAGCATTGTGGAAATATATGCATGTAGGTGTGTGAGTATTGGTTGAAATGAATTTGAGATGGCACATGCATTGACGTGCATCACATTCATGAGTTATACCCTAGATTATGGTAGAGGGATATGG